AGTTGAATATTTTAAAAAACTCCGTTGTGAGGACTACATACTATTAAAATAGACCGAACTATAAAGCTATTGATTAGTGAATAACTTGCAATGCTGAGGGCATGTGTCCGTTCATATGATCACCTATGAGCTGTTCAGATAATAAAATATTTCCTCCAATAATAATTGAAACTTCATTTTGTTTCGAGAAATCTTTTATTATAGATTCTTTAGGCTGCAAAATTCCAAATACCTGAGCAAAAGTAGTTAAATAGGAAAGGACAAATAACTCCAGAAACAATAGAAAATTAAAACAAAAGATTCTTCAAGTTATTGTTCCTAATTCTATTGTAGAAAGAACAATTGTAGTAAAAATTGACACGGTGGCCTTTTGATTACCAGATGAACAGTACCAGACAGGAATCTGAGTACAATAGTACGATCGTCCCACCTTGGTAAAGTATAAAGAAAATACAATCCACAGTACATAGCAAGGCTATTGTGCGTGCAAATCAATTTTTCCGAATTGGTGAAATTGAGACTAGGGTGTTAGGTCAAACAAAGACCGAAGATATTTTAACATCCGATTCATTAAAAATCAAAAGAATCCACAAGTCGTTAGTAGTCCTTCATTTCAGTCAATAAGAGTTAAATGTTGAACCTAGTTACTTGCAGTGCAGGTAGAAGAAAGTATTGCAGCCTGATGGAAATGGAACAAGCTTAAAGTCCAAGCTTTGTTCTCCTCCAGTGACGCCTTTTAGCATTGTATCTGAAATTCATAAATATGCGTGTTAAAGTTAAATTGTAAGAGATATAAGTGAGTCCGGGAGAATCATGTTATGAAATGGAATGAAAATATTAATTGGAAGTTTGGTGTACACATGTACGATGAAAGCTTCAAAATCAGATACGCTGTCAGCAAACTATATTGGAGATTATTCAACTGATGATGATGAATCATATTCGAACTATGCAAATTCACAATATAAAACAATTTTTTTCAGTTACCATGTTATAGTGAATTTAGGTCATGTTCCTCTATTAATCCGGCCTGCAGCATTATTAAAACCATACAGTTTTTACTCATAAATCAGTAAATAGGTATGCATTAATTTCTATAAGGGTCCATATTTTTCCCTGTTACTTGGGAAGAGTATAGAGTTAATTTGAGTATTTGAGTGTAGCCAACAATGATTAAACTTTGTTATGAATGACCAAGCATGGAAAATATCCTGCTATAATCGAGCAATGAAGCTAAGACAAAAAGCTTTCTCCGTCTAGCAAAACTCGTGTTGTAGGTGAGCCTAGTGTCAGAGTGTAAAATATGCGGTACTGTAACTACATGTCACCCATTTTTATATGATAGATGAAAGGCAGGTTGGCATAAATTCTCGAATAAAAAATCTAGCCTACAGAATACGAGAATGTGATAAGACATAATTTGTTCAGAAATGAATAAGATTTCACTAATTGCAGGGTTTGGGGGGCGAAGAGTCACCTTGCAATGAAAGAACAAAAGTTCAATTTGGATTTACGATATGACTTTATGAGTGACAGAGCGATGGTATCGCAGATCAGTAAACTAGCTTCTACTTTTTAGTACGATACAAGTTATTTCCGCCCCTAGTATTACATTTGTATACACAAATATAGATGGAACAATGTCAGAAGGTACAGGGACCGTAAAACAGTAAGTTCTGAAATTTATTCCAGTATTGATTGTGTCCAGTGTCCTCACCTTATTTTGTTGCCAGTCTTCATCCTCACCCATTGCGGGATTGGTCTGTTCTGGTTTTGCTTCTTAGCCAAATGTTTCTTGATCTTGAACGATTTGTTCGCCGACTGTAATCAGAGAAACATTCTTAGCAAATTGAAGCTACCTGGGAAAATTCTATCATATCCACTTTAATCAAGCGTAATGACATTTCTCGTAATCTAATGTTAGTTTTAAAGCAACTACTAGTTTATATACTATTTTCACAAATATTCTTTTCATCTTCTAATGAGGTAAAAATCGGCGAGAATTAAAATAAAATAAGCCAGGGCATAGCTGCACTAACCATTTTGCCGTCCTGGAGTAAAGAGAGCGTCGCTGAAGCGCGTCCTGTCTTCGGCAGATATATTTTGCTACAGCGCAACCACGTGGCCGATGTTATATGTTTGCATCATCCGGTGGGTATCGCTAGAGATACTTCAAAAAAATCCGTTGTAATTTAACTTTTTTTGACGTCTCACATATACAAAAATTGAAACAAAATCATCAACTCTCAAGTACGATTGTATTTTTTGCATTTAAGTTTAAAGCAGATCTCCAGCTTCGTTTCGAGTCCAAAATAAATACGAAACTCCTTTCTAAATTTTGTCGAGTCTACTGCAATTTGCGACTTGATCTCAATCAATTTCAAGTTACAAGTAAGGTAGTTATGTAATAGAATATCTAGATAAAACCAAACTAAACAATGTATTGATTTGTCCCAGGACCCCGCCGGGAGCTACTGCCCATTCAGACGATGTCGACGGAGTTGCAATTTTGGTCTGTAAATTACTGCGAATCAAAAAGCAGGAAATTTCCGTTGCTACAAGACATCTATAAATTGTTAGCTCGCGGGGTTTGAGCAATCGTCGAGGCCTCATCAGTTTTATTATATATAGTTCCTGGATCTAGATTCTTGTGTTTGCTATAAATAATACTCAAGGGTTATTTTAATTCAGCGAAATTAGTTCCAATTTCTTTCGATAGACTCACTTCAGGGTGGATGAATGTTAGGTTAGTGCAATAATGAATAAAAAAAATATATTTACCAGATTCATATTTTTATTGTGAGTACTTTCCGACAACATAGTCGAGCGACGTGCCAACCGTCAATAAGTGCTTGTACAACGTAATCATTAATTCAAACAGTCATAAATTTGATGAATCACCGCGATTGTGATGAAAATATTTCAATACTTTTCTAAAGTGCGTAATTTGGAATGTATTTGGTTTGGAATATTCTATCGTATTTGCGAATTTTATTGTTTTATACTTCTAAATGTAGCAAAATTACCATAGCAAAAATAAGTTTCGTAATTTTTTGCATAGCGAGATGTCAAAAATGAAAAACTAATATGAGTGTTAGGACACTGCTTTTTGAAATTAGGCCTATATCCTTCAGTCAATGCGCGCAGGATTAGTTCATGTTCTTAATATACACTCCAGTTTCTTTCTAATCGTTACTATGCTCGTTATTATATGTTTTTGCCGATAAGTATAATACATTCTTTTCGTTGTGATGTATATTTGAGCTACAATATCGAAAGTTATGTGGAATAAAATTATTCTGTTGTTATTAAAAAATGTAAATTCAGATTATTAGATTTGACTCATTGTGAGTACTCAATGCATTGCATATATAATGCGATACATTATTGTGAGTGACAAAATCCATTTTTAGTAATATGGCCGAGTATGCAACAAACATGGTATGGTATCAATACTACGGCTTCATGGCAAAGGTTCTTCGCTAATTCGGTAGACAGGATAGTTACGGTCGAATTCATTTCTCTCTAACTCGGTTCGAGAGAGGTCCTTGTGCCTCAAGTTCCCATTGAAATGCGATAACACCTGCCGACAAAAACAATACCGTCAACCAATGGCGTTGAAGAACGGGTGTCACGTGGTGGTTGCCCGGAAATTTTAAAATGCGCTATTCGAATTTAAATGCCCTATCTGTGTTTACTTTTTATACGTTCTCTGCACATGTTGAGTCTTGTCTGAGAGCGATTAAAAGTAACGAACAAGATGAATATGTAACGAGAAACCGATTTCATAAAAAAAGAAAAAGTCCCTCACACAAATACTCACAGTTACTATTTCAAAAACATCCTGGTTCTAAAGCCTGTACTAATTGTGTTCAGTGTACTATTGGCATGAAGTCAGCATTGGTTTATCTGCCAGGTGTTCGTTTTTTGAACAATTGATTATTTTGGTTGAAAATATCATATGTAGAAAACAAATTATGGCCAAATTTAAACTGGACCTATAAATCTAAAATGTACATGACACTATGAAAGAATATTAAAAACTTATACCAGTTCAGGGCAGTGGAATATATTAGCTTACTGAAAGAACTTTTTGAGTCATTGACAAAAGCTTATTAGCAAAATATATTTAATAAGTTTTGGTAAAGATTAGGCAAATACTGTTTTTAAAAGCTGTGATAGAAATCGGCACGATGGCCAGGTGGTTAAAGCATTAGGGGATGGACTTATCTATGTTAAATATGACAAATACAAGTTAAAAATCTAAATTCAAATCCCACGTCCAAGACCTCACCTGGGGTTCAATAACTTGATTATGCAATGCCAAAAGATTACACTTTTGTCTAACTATAGTTGATCTTTGCCGAGTAGTAGCTGCTTGTATAGAGCCTTGTTCAGAGTGGAAGATTTATTAATATGTCTCATATAAAAAGGGTATAAAAATCAGAACAAGATGCATAAATATGAAAAAATTCCCTCCTCTATCCTGTAGTAATATGCCAAGATTTAACTTGACAATGTAATGTGGACTAAACCTCTGATATGAGGTAACTAATGAGATATGAGATATCTATAACATCTAGCATATTCAGAACGTAAATGAGGAAGGAATTTTCAAAAACGTGATATCATATAAAAGAAAGTCTAATGTCATAATCAGTGTTCTAAACCACAAGTCATGAGTTAAGCCACAGGCCATCCGAGTCTTGTGTCAAGTCTCGAAGTTAAGTCAGTCACTCAATTAAGTCTCACTGAGGGTAGTTGAGTACGATTCGGAGTCACTTTGAGTCTTTGATAAATTGTGATCCAAGGCGAGTCATTGAACTGAGCCTTCCCAACACTGGTCATATTATATAAAATTGACATCACAATTCTCTTTGATGACAGGCAGGCGGCATTGGCAAATTTTCTTGAAGATACACCTGTGTAAATAAATATTCAATCTTATTAAGCACAAATTGAATTCATTAACATTATATTTACTTATTTCATAGCTATATTAGGTTTAAATTTGAGTCCCAATAAATTTATCTCATCATTGAGTGATAGTGTATCTATGGCCCAAAACAAACTTGCTGAAAATTCGTTTTTTTGCAAGTAGTTGAAAACTGATCTCTAATAAAGTTGAGATATGGATTTTGATGAGCCAGACTTAGAAGAACTTATTCAAAATGACCTCAGAAGCGAAATGAACAAAATTTTAAGCCAATCAGAAGTTGATGAAATAGAAGCTGCTGCTTCACATGGAGTTGTTGATCATGATGCAAGACATTCACCTCATGAGATTTTTCCATCTTCAAGGTTAGAGAACTAAGTGTTGTATGCACTTCAGAAATTTCGATCTGTGACATCGCTTGTTTGAGACGGGGTCCAAATTTAAACTGCTTATAATATATGCTTGATCGGGCTTTAGAATATTGCCAACCGTAATCTTTCCATTAGCTCATTGAGTGAATAACATCTCTAGCTGATAGAGAAGATTTTTGATGACGTTCAATTTTAAATATTATTTTTCTGATCTATTTTAACTTTAATTAATTGAAAATTATCAAATATTTGCAGAATTATGCATCATGGTTATCGGAGGGATTTTCCAATCAAAGCTGAACCATGTGAAAGAAATTTAGAAGAGGTAATCAATAGTTCTCAGCAAAAGTTCTCACCAAAGATATAAATATACTTGATTATCATTAATCGTAAGCATAATAGGCTATATAAAGACATATCCGTCTAAGATAAAATATTTATAAAATGTTATTTTGACTATCTAGTGATATTTTATTCCTGTTTCTAGTCTCAAGCTGTTCATGGAGAGTTTGATGTTATGGAATCTTCATTACTTCAAGAGCTCCAAAGTCAACACAGCCCGTTGCCTCGAGGCCATCACGAAATCAGGTCAGTAAGGAATATCTCTATCTTTGAATACTTAATTTAAAATTATAAATTGGTACTTTATACTTTATTACCAGTCTTCAAGAATCCAAATTTATGGAGAAATCCACACACTAAATTACTATTGAGAGTGTTTAACTTGAAGAAGAAGAAAAAAATTTTCAGCTCGAAATCATTGAATTTTGTAAAAAAATGTTGCATCTAATATGGAATTGATTATATTAACTTACCCATAAACCTTTACTGAAAAGAAATACAGTACTTTTTACCAAAATATCTTTTCATTCTAGTGGCCATTTCTCTGTGGGAAGCTATGCAGATTTCACTGGAGAATTAGGACATTATCCCGCTGAGGTGACAGAACACAGTGATTTATCTAGTCTCACTTGGTTAACAACTGTAGATGTACAGGTTTGTTTTCGACTAATGTGGTCAATTCATCTGAACATCAATCATTTTAATCTTTTTCATGGGATAGTATATTTCAAATAGTAACAACTACCTAAATTTGTCATCCCACTTCCATTAGTATTTTATTATAACTTAACTTTAACTTCATTGCTTTTGATGATCATAAATATGTTTACTATCCATGCTTTATTATACAGGCTCTTCAGAAACTCACAGAGCAAGGAAGGGTGATCGCATCATCTTCTATGCCTGGTATTCAACAACATTCTTCAGTTCAACAAGGTTTTTCTCAAGCACAAGGTATGTTTCCTGTATTTTGGGCCTCGCGATCCTGAGGAATTGAAACTTATGAAAATACTGAAATTTATTTCCAGGTATTCCAGAGCACAGATCGGTTATACAGATGGTGCCCGCAGCTTCGAATATTCGAATGCCTACAGAAACCTCTAACATTCAACATCAAATACCTCAAACAACAATAACATCAGCACCAATTCCAAGTCCAGAAGCCGCAGTACAGATGCCAGAAACGTCGTCATCAAGATATGCAGCAATACAACCACATATCAGCCAAGAAGGAAGAAGATTTTGTAAGTTCATTATAATACAACATAAGTATACACCATGTAGAACGATGTATGAGACTAAATATCTTAAGATATACATTTTGAATGTATGTGATTGACTTTTATACTATAGTGCAATCTCACGATAGATTTTGACATTGATAAACATTCTTTTATTTTACAGTGGCTCAACAAAGATATCATCTCAATGCTCATCCTTCAGGTGGTCCAATTGGAAGACATTCTTTTGAAAGTGGTCATATAGGACCTAGGAGATATGTACCAGGAGCGGTGGTGGGGCATCACCCATATCCCCCTCCTCCTTATGCCAATGGTACACCGAGGCCTGGTTTTCTTCACAGTGGTCTGATGCATTCTCGATTTCATCCACACCATGGGCAACCACAAAAAGTTTACCCGAAGCCAGTATATTCATATAGGTGAGTGAGTTTCTCAAACCAATGCTTATTAAAAACCTAAGTACTACAACTCCCAACGTTTTAAATCATGATCAAGTGCAGAATGGAAAAGTTTGATCTATTATTAATATTACATGAAGTGGTACTCAACTCAAAACAAAAATTAAAAAATCTGAATTAAAATAACTTATTGAAAGCAACAAATAAGATAGACATCAGTCAACACTTCTCTCGTCAATGGTTGGAATATGATTCAAAATTAAAATATGGAACAAATGAATGTTACACAATGCTGTTGGATGAATGTTACACAATTTTGATATTTTGTCCACCTGGTTACTTTACTAACTGAATTATTTCTACATGACTCTGAAACCAATGATGTTTTCCATGTCCATCTGTCTCTAACATACTCTATTTCATCTGGTATTGTTAAACTCCAGGGTTCAATTTTCAGACCTTCATTTTTCATCAATACCAATCCTGCCAATCTTGTATGTAATTTGATGATATTTACGCTGACTAAACAACTTCGAATTTGCTAAACCTCTGAAAATAGACTCTTCCATTAAAAAGTACTAAATAGTGTTTAATTATTCTTTTTGACGACTGAATAATTTACTTTTCAGTTGCCTAATAGCCATGGCTCTGTACAACAGTAAAACTGGCTGTTTACCTGTTTCTGATATCTATAATTTCATGATGGAGAATTACCCGTATTTCAAGACAGCACCAGATGGTTGGAAAAACTCTGTTCGGCACAATCTGTCATTGAATAAATGTTTTGAAAAGGTAAATAAGGTAAATATTTTACAAAATTTTTTATTTGATGAGTATTTGAGCAAAAACCTTCAGGCTTGGCCTATTCTAAAAGTACCATAAAATAATGCCACCTTCTACTTCCAATAAAATTAAAAAAAAAACTGTAAATATATATATGTACCTTGTGTATTTGCATCAGGTTGAAAAACCAAACGGGACCCAGAGAAAAGGATGTCTGTGGGCATTGAATCCTGCCAAAGTAGCTAAGATGAAAGAAGAAGTTCAAAAATGGAAAAGGAAAGATCCTGATTCCATTAGAAGGAGCATGTCGAATCCAGGTCAGGAAAAAAATTATCGGTATCTCATACAATATGATTCATTCTTATCTGATTTCAAATGATTATTTGTTTTTGAACAGCCAGTATGGGTGGGTAATTTCTGACTCACTAAGCAAATATTTTGATAAAATTTATTTGAACACCATATCATAGTAAGTAAATACAACAAATCTTGCATAAATCTGTATAATATCTAGACAACATGGCCAGAATATCTATACCTTATTCGAGTGGTACCGAACCTTTTTTGATACAGTTCTTTTACGCTTCAATTCACATTTTCTACTTCTTTTTCCCATATGATAATTTATTTATATTGAAAACAAAACACAATAATTTTGTGAACTATGATATACTACATTATGACTTTATTTTGTATTTAAGTTTAATTATTGAATACTGTGTCCCAAGCCCTTGAATATAATGAAAATTATCATATATGAAATTGTATAATTGAGAATTAAATCGATACTATCAAACATATTCATAGCATGAAGTATTATTCTAACATGCAAATATTACGTAATCCAATTCCCATTATCTTTTGGTATCAAGTGAACATATTTTTTGTATATCTTTTGTACCAATATATAACATTCCTTTTTTTCTACTACAGAGGAACTCGATCGTGAGCTTGAAGAAATGAGAAGAGTGGATGAGGAACAAGCGAGAAGAAGAATGCTGAGTTTAACATCTCATGGCCTTACTACATCATCAATGCATAACATGCATCATCTTCCTCCTCACCATCCCCATCATCCGCAAAATATTTTGCACATGCATCATCATCCGAGTGTTCCATCACACATAAATTCATCTGCGGCAGGACCTTCATCTGTTCCAACGACATCACAAAGACATCCAGGGTAAGTGTGTTTACTTAGTAGTATCTTGCTGCAATATACATACTGTAGTACCATAATTCCATTTTTATTTTTTTTAAACAGTCAACATTTTTCAACTGAGTTGGCTCAAGAAAACTTTGCGAGAACTCTAGCAAGATCAGCTTCTCAACCTTCACCAGCAATGCGTAATCCATTTGATCTTTCACCTCTGGGTCACTCGTCCCAACATGGTAAGTGCACACACAGCTTGCTTGAAGTATGATACAAATCAAAAAACAAATAAGTAAGCAAATAGGTTTTCTGAAAGAAGTTGCCAAGAAATTTAATTTTAACTTGGAAAAAAAATGTCATAGGACATCATGCAATCTTCCAATGTTCAAAATTAAATTAAGTGGTGTTTTATATTTCCACTGAGAATAAAAAGGAAATTTTTAATTTGTTTATTTTGTGGTATTTTGTGGAAGATTTCTTCATCATTCATACTTTTAGATGAATAAAATATATTTGTTAGCATAGAAAATATTTTATTTCCATCTAGCTTCCGGTGCTGCTCCTGTTTCTATAAATCTTGGTTCGAACAATAACAACAATTCTTTTTCTGGAAATTCTGCTATGTCTCCCGAAATGATCATACTCACTTCGAGTGGTGGAAGATCAACTCTTTTCACCTCTCCTCAATCTTCCTCTTCTTCAACTACCTCCAGTAATACAAGTTTGCTGGGAACATTTACTGAAGTTTCTGCTGTTCTAGGTGTAGATGATTTTGATGCAAGTTTGGCAGATCTGGCTGGTTTACATGTAAGTTTTTCTTATACTACTGTATCTGTTTTTGATGTTCTTGATTTTGTTTGATTCTGACACACAATGGTCGAACTTGAAATGTTTGTGCCATACTATACTTGTTTATGTAATCTCTTTACTTAGAATAAGAAAGCACATCATTTAGGTCATAAGCATTATATCAACTTAAACAATATAGTTTTTTTGCCTTTGATAAGTGATAAAAGAAATTGGATATATAAATAATACATCTCTTTGAATCTTAAATATTTTATCTGTCCTTAACAATGTTTTGATTTATATTTCAGGACTCTTTTTGGGATGGTACTCTGAATCCCCAAACAACAGTTGCAAGCGATGTTAGTGAAGCATTTTCTGAAAGTGACTCCAAGGTGGCATTACCTATAGAAAGAAATGAAGAGTCATCACCCATGACATCAGAAGGTTGTGTTCCTTTGCCCCCTGTCATCAGGGTTTTATCTTCTCATTCAAGAGATCAAGCCTCGCCTGATACTCCAGACTTTAAGTCAAGCACAAGCCAAAGAGTAGATAATTTTGGAAGAGACTTGACTTGTTATGCAAGCAACAATATTAAGCCAGTGGTGCTGCTATAATCAATTGGCTGCTCATGATGATAATTGAAAAAAGAATGAACTGCTCACACAAATTTCTGTCAACTTACGGTATAAATAGATTTCTTTGTTTGGAAATGTTGCTATTGCTGCCTTCTCATGTAAAAAAGTTGTTATGCTATGCTAAAAAGGATCGTTAATTGTGCATGCTGTTGAAAAAGAATGAATCTGAGGCAAGTTTATTTTAAGAGACCATATCTGACATACCGATATGTTTAACTTAGTTAAAAAATACATTTTTTTAATTGATTACAAATGCATTGATACAACCACCCAATTCATGCATCTGAAACATTTCGCAGGACAAGAGCCTGTGAATCTTCACACAATAAAGCTGTCCTATTGACATTATCCTATTGTATACAAAAAGAGTTTTTTATATCAATTTCTGCTACCAAATTGAATCGAATCCTCAAATTTTATTCTACACATATGCACAACATGTACAAATACTAGTACTGAGCACATATACCTACTGTGTAGAATGTGCACTGTGAGATAAATCAACCTATAATACACACTGTGGAGGATCAAACCATATTCGAAGCTAGTTATTATTATCAATATAATTTTTTCGAAGCTTCAATTACCTAGAACATACTTATAGATAATATACTCAATATGGTACTGCTAATTTCCTCAAAATTATCTGCTTTTCCATCGTCTGAAATTCCAAATTTCGATGAACACTCAAAAAATGTTAATTAATTAAGAAAAAACATTTATGAAGAATAACGTCTATTTTCTGCAAATTGGATATTCACAGGTTTATGTGTGTAAAAACCAAAAGTACTTGCATCTTAGTTTTATAATTTAGGACAGCTTAGTTTTTTATAATTTTTAAGCCTTATAATAATAAGGTGCTTTCAATTTAATTGATTTCAAATGAATCAAACATTTTATCTTCAAAAACAAGGGAACACTGTGTTTGTTAGCTTCCTACGCTATATATTATGCTAGCTACCTAGTTAAAAAAAATTGTGATGAATACATTTGTTTATATATGAGTTGTATCTAAGAAAACATGAATTGTAGAAATTCATTCTGCTTCACATATCTGCTGCTTTTGGCTGATTATAAATGTATATGTCTGATAATCTATATATAAAATATGTAACTAATTTGTATTTATTGCTGCATATTTGTGACTTTTTATTGAATTGTACTAGCATTATGCTACTTGCCACTTTGATTTTATAGCAACCAAAGGCCATTTTAATGACATTCACATTTTGTATGTATTGTATATAAAATGCTAATTCTATTTAACTCTGGTCAGGGAACATTCTTGAAAGTTATAAATTACTATTTTCTAAATTGAAATTGAAATATTTCAAATATTTTTGTTTTCTGGTTATTTTCTATCAAAATATCCCCAGATTAAGAATTAATTTCAGAACAAATTGTATAAAATAACAAAAAAAATATATAAATAATGTTATTTAAATTTTTCTAAATTAAATGTCATGTATATAACATTTTAATTTGTTTGTTTTTTTACATTGTTAAAAAGGTTTCATGAATCTTATATACAGAAATAAGAGTTTTATTTTTTGTTTTTCCTTTTTTTATATGTTGGCACATTTCTTCAAAATTTTCAAAAGTATATAACAAAAAGTATTGGTTTGAAATTTAGTGTTTGCCAAACCTCAGTGAAAACTGAATTCATTGGAGAATACTTTAAATTTCTGGCCGAATAAATATAGAGCCATATTACCCAATTGCACCAATCTTTTACCACCATTCCTATTGCGAAATACAATTCAATTTTTCTTAAATATATAGATATATAAGTTAGCTATAGCTCACTTTTAATTTACTCGTAATTTTGCTTGTTTTTCCAATTTATGATGATACACAATGTAATTGACTCTTTTTAAACACATTGATGTTTCAGGATTTTCCACAAAAAGTATAAATTTACCTGTTACCAACCTAATAATGACTATATTTTATATGAAATTTTTTTACAGATAAATCAAAACGTTTAATGAATAATAAGTTTTGGATCCAGAGTATTCAGGTGTACAGTATACAAACACGTATTCGCTTTTAAAATTCAAGGTATTTGAATATTTGTTTATAAATCATGTGTTAAAATGCTGTTAATCAACATATCTCCTTAAGATTATTACCAGCATGCTCATTGTGATGATTTGTTATAGAAGTATTTTTATTATTGTTTCGTTAATTTTTGCACCGAATCACTACCAAACCAATGATTGATTTTATACTATATATAGAAACATTATTTATCTTAATCTTTCAGTCAAATGCTTATTTTAACTGTATTTAAAGTCTGGCACTTCAGAAGATTGTAAATAATGCTTCATTCAAGATCTTCATTTAATTAGATGGTATCAAAAGCAAAAGTCAATTTTTTTTTCATTTTGATGAATCAAGTTGCTTCTAAATCTGCATGTAAACTGAAACTTATTGAAAAGGGGGAGATACATCTACTTGTGAGGGCTAATATGTTATGTTTGTTGCAATATTTTACTGTTAGAGTCCGCATATGTGCAAAAATTTGCACTGATGTTGTTGTCGTGTTATTAGTTGCTGCTGTTGTTTACAAGGTTGTTAAAAATTATAACCAATGACTATGGTAGCACATTTTGTGGGTCACTTTGTTTCATTTCCCATCTTGGCTATCATAATAACTCTCTCTGTGAACAAAATTAATGACAAGAAGCATATCAAAATTTTGTTGCAGACTTTCATGTCAGAATATAGAAATATGTTCCATTTATATTCAAGTGCATTTTATGCTGCTTAGTGCTGCTGAATTTCATTATGTAGAATGATGTCATCCAATATTAATTTTAGAATAACAATTAATTTCAAACGGTTGTGCCGAAACAAGACTTTTAGTCAATGCATCTGGAACAAATAACTGGCTAACCAATCCCATACCCGAAATGGACCGGTAATCAGACGACAAACCGTGGTTTGACATATGATTTAGTCATCTTATATATTTCCTCTCCTCTGCGATAAATATGTAAGTCCTATCTTATGGTGCTAAGGTCTATGATATGCTTAATGTCCAATCCTAACATATATATAAATGAAACTTATATTAATATTTATATGTTTTTTCTTACTGTAATATGTATAATTTAATGCTATTGTTGATTTTGTTCAATTTATTATTTTTTGTTAGATGCAGAATAGTCTTAGTTGCACTGCCTATTACTAGGCAAAAATATGTTTGTCGTCTGTTCGTAGTTGCAATTTTTGAACATTGTTTGGTTACTTTTCATTTTTATTAAGTCGTTTGTTCCAACCTGTGGAGTGTTTGAGCTCCGACCTTCATTGGTCGTTGTAATCCCCGATGATTTTTCAATACACGTACTATCTATCTATCACTCATACTCGATGGACATATATATCCACTGGTTCACTGTTACACTGATTTTCACAGCTTTTTACTTAATCAATGTATGATAATTATGATTTATATATAGATATATGTATATATGACTTACACGTTCACCTTTTTGCCTTTCTTAAAGTTCTGCAATCCGTTGTGCCTATGTCATTTTATATTCAATGTTATTTTTTGTCAATTTACCTTTAGTTTATAAGCATGTCAGTTGTTTACACTTGGTATCGTCTCTAGAAAATTTATTACAATATGAAATAAATTTTTAACAAATTTTTATGAATTTGGAATTAACGTTTCATTCTTGTTTTCTGATCAGACGAACATATCTAGTAGCTAATTGTGCGCGGGAGATGAGATTATTAAAAACAGGCAGCCAATAGGCCTACATTACGAGTAAACAACACAATTTGTCACATTTTGTGTCCCGATGTGTATGTGATGGAAAATACTTTTATGATACTTTCTTTCGATATCTAGATTATAGACTTCCAAATCTATGCATTATATGAGATTGCAATATTCAAAATTTATCCTAAAGGTAATGAGAGTTTCCACTACGTTAAACGGATTTTTTAAATTTCAAGACACCGTAATGTACAAAACACATTTCGATGAGTAACCTATCTGACCACGCACGGATAAATAATTCCTGCAATATGATTCTGCAAATGTCCATGTTTGCAAAGGTTCGTGGGCGCAAATGTCCGGGATGTAAACGTCTGCCAGTGCGAATGTTTGTGGGTGCCAATGCTCGAGAATGCGTATGTACCACGGTGTAAATAATCGTGGATGGAAATGTCTGTTGACGTTCATGAATGCAAAGAGGTCGCGACGACATGAATGCAAATATACCGAGTTCAATTAATGAGTATAAACAAACGGGTACAAATATACTGGATACAACGGTGCTGTAACCGTCGAATCCAGGTGTTAAGAACGTGCTTGGAGCAACTCGATCGCCGAAAAAGCGCCGTGTGCAAATATGCATGCAAAAATGTCAATTGTCAGAGCGAAAAATGCTCTTTAATCTCGAAACACGTCCTGGAAACCTATTTTGAAAACAAAAGTTTATTTGATTAAATAAAATTAGTGATGCATCTTTTTCAATTGAAAATAGTATTTACCAAGGCGAAAATTGTATGATGAGTGTCAAATTTAGGAAAATTAACTTATGCAGGAAGGCATGAACCAGAGCAACGCTGATAAGAACGAGTACTTGTCGACAAATTGATTGTTGCCATGCAGTTAAGCTTTGGAACAGTAGGAACCGTTCTAACCATACATTCTCAACATCATGATGAACACTGCATGTGAGTAAATTGCGACCGCTCGCCGATGTGTCGATGTGTCTTGTGAACCATCACAACAAACGATTTCATGATTAGATTTCGATAATCAACACTCCTTAATTTCTTCCGAGCAATCAGAGACTGGTTGAACACCATGTCATACGTCTTGCTTCTGTTCCAGCGGTAGGGTGCCGTATTTTTGTTCCCCGGTCGGCTATTTTGTTCCAGGCATTTCCTATACACACCAGGCCAAAAGGTTCGCTAATTAACAACAAAATGCAATTAACAATACGCCGATCGATTTTGTTATTTTTTTCTGGAGTATATGCCTGCTCAATTTTTCCGTTTGCTGAAGGTAAGATTATTATATTTCTTATTGACTACTTACTTAGTTTCTCACTCCAAATAATGACAAGATTTCAATATGAAATTACCAACAACAGGAGAGTAAGCTGGTTTGATAAATTTTGTTGGGTTAAACGTAAAATTTTCCTTCGTATCATTTTGGACAAATCCGCAATCAGGTCACGTTCCTTGTGTAAATGAGTAAATATTAGATTGACAACGGCAACTAAGAAGACTACTCAAATTGCTCAGAAGGCTGCTGTGTCTTAATCTTCAGTGCATAAATAGCTGATTGACTTTGAAATAAACACTAAGCTGCTTGGATACGAGAAATTAATTCTACAATAAAAACTCGATTGTAATAAACTACTTGTACTTCTGATCTTTCATTGAAATTATGGCTGAAATAATATATAGCTTTATTATACCTTGAAGGCTATCAATGCAAAGAAGGAGGCATTATAGACGATGAGTGGAAATGTGATTACATGGTAGATTGCCCCGACGGATCGGACGAATTTCCTGAAACATGTGGTGAGTGAAATGTGGGGTTGTAATAATTACTGTATACTACGGTGATTCCAGCATTTAGGATTACCTCCAACAATCGGCGTAGGTTGTCTTTCAGTGTAGCGTGGGAATTATAAATCCTACAGAACATCAGAACGTGACAAATTATTGTTACCAACAATGTTGACGCCACTCCAACCTACGCGGCCGCAGTTAGGGTTTTGTTTTTTATAAATTCTAAAAAAAAAATTATTTATTGAATACCCTTTGCATCGCTGCGAAACTACGTCAAAACGTCGCATTCTGGCAGCTACACACGCGTCCGGAATTATAATTTCAAAAATGTAAGTAAAAATTCCTATTTTGACTTTTACTTCTATTGCGTAAATTTATCGCCACGTTTGTATCTCCACCAAAGTCATAAGATTTTAACCAAAATGTTCATCCGAAATAGCAGAGAGACGTTTCGAGTAAGAAAAATGAAACTTAGCTCACGAGCCTACTACAAAAGCAATTAGATCGAGGGCAGCCTTCGGCAAAACGAGTGGGTTGCGATAATGAAGAATATTATGCTTACATCGGTGGCAATCTACTGATATAAACAATGAGACACCCTAGCGGCCTAGCCTATACTAATCGTTAGAGTCCCTGATGCAAAGACGCCTCAACTAATCTGTTATGACGCATAATATTGATTTCGAGTTCATGTATTGGCATTTTCTCATAAAATGAAGGGATTATCAAGGTTAATACTGTTCGGTTAATTTATGCTTAGCATACTTGGTTTTTAAGGTCGAAGTGATAAAGAGTTTTTCAAAGTTATACAAACTCATTTATTCGATCGCATTTCAATTTTCGCAAAATGGTTTCGTCGTAGCAGATTCTTTAGCGTAATGGCTTACCGTTGGGACGTACTGCGCAAACCACTGAACTACAGCTTGAGAAGATGTGTATGAGCCTTTATCGATATTTATGGCGTTCTGAAGGATTTATTGCAAATAAGAAGCGCTTGGCAAGTTTTTACATTCATTTTTCTTTTAACTTATTTTATACAAAAAAATCAAATGGTACAGCCATTTTGAAAAAAAAACATTATTGTTTTAAAACAATTCTTATTGAACAAATCCCTAGCCGCAGTGGGCCCCGCGCTTGGGAACGTAATTTAGTGGTAAAGTTACTGTACCTCAATTGTGATTTAGTACTCGTTAAGAGATAGTGAAATATGAAAGAAAATTAATTTTATATTACAAAATCTTTAATTTATCTTCTCATTCTCAGCTCTTGGCAGAGTAGGCCCTACGCACCCCGTTCCGCATAGCGCCCCCCAATAGTTGGGGGCGACCCTGATTAACAAATAGAAATTCAATATGTGTATTCTAGTCTTGGCGCGGCGGTGTGGCTCATCGTGCTAAGCGTTAGGAATACGCTTGCCACCGCACCTCTGATTACTCGTTGGTTCGCATGTTCGAATCCCATACGGGGATGGTTTTGTGCGAGAGGATTGGTGGACTCCTCGCCGCCGTAGGGTGGTTCACGTGACCGCTAGTCGGTTACGGCTTCCTTGATCATCAAGTCCATGCTTCCGAAAACAAATAACGTACTAATCCCATACCCGACATGGAATGGTAAGCGAACTAGAGACAGTGGTGCGCTATATGGTTAAACCGGCTTTCCTTTCCCCGGGATAAATATGTAAATGCTATATGCTTAAACCGTCTTATCGGTTTTCCTTTCCCCGGGATAAATATGTAAATCCTATTCTACTTTACATATCAGTCTTCAGGAGCATATATTTTGGACGCTGTGAAAATAATGGCTTCAATTTATCTGCAATAGCTGACAGGTCTTGTTCTGATGATCAATTTCGCTGTAACAATACTCGATGCATCGATAAAAGTTATGTCTGTGATGGAGAACCAGACTGCCAAGACGGTGATAGCTCGGATGAAGAAGGCTGTGACGTAAGTGTTGTGTTTAAACTTTACAACGATGGCTCAAAATATAATCTACTGGCACCTCGGCGTTGTCTGGCTACTTGGTACGTTTCCCGGCGTCTAATGGACCATCGGTTTCAAATTATCGGTATAAGATATCAAAAAACTCACTAGGTTCAAGTGCCCTCGGAATCCCATAAAGTTCAGAAGTTCACCCAAACATATGCTGCTTTTAATTCATGGGAAATTTTTTATGACATAAGGGAACACTTTTATAGGACGTTTGGTTTTGGTTTTTGGTGTCCATTTATTTGAGAATGCATTTTGTTGCTATCCAATCACATATTAGGCGAATTAATATTATGTCAATTCGTGTCCATATCAGATCATTTGTGAGCATTCTAACGTTTTTCAATATGTATATGCACGTACATATAGTTTAAATGGGGACTACATTAGCGCTGTTAAATCTTTCAAGCTCCTAAACATAAGTTTCGTAGTGATATTTTGCTATTGATCCAACGCGATGACGTAATTGTACCTTCAAGTTCAACCTTTTTACAAATGTTTATATATTTTATCAGAAACCCATGTCGCCTGATGGTGATTCATGCAAACAGTTCAAATGCTCTACAACCGAAGATTGTTTTCCTTTTGTGTGGGTTTGTGATGGTGAACGAGACTGTTCCGACGGATCTGATGAAGCTAACTGTGTTTGTATTCCTGGAGATTACGGGTAAAATGTCAATAGTTTTGTTCAGTATTATTCCCTGAGAATCGGATGCGGTCAGGGCCTGCCTGGTTTACAATTAGGCATCAAGCCTTAGGGGCCTTGACGTTAAATTTTGAACTGCTCTTCATTTTTAGGTCGTTATTAAACAAACAAAAAAATCTTCGGAATGTAGCCTGCTTAAAATTTCATAAGTGATATTTGTTTACTTTTAATTGAGAATTTGAAAAACTGTATTCCGGTGCCATGACGTTTTATTATAGCCACGAGTTTCTCATCTACTATCCAATCTACTTGGGTGATTACTGATTAGTGTACGTATTTCGTTTGTAACTAAAATTTCGAATTTCACGCAATTCAAAATGTTGTTCATGGTGTAATAATACATTTCACATATACGTTCAAGGCTTATTATGACATTAATACATTTTCAATGGCGCCATTGTTTTCGAGGGGGCTCACGAGTGTACTAGGCTACTTATCGTCTAAATCAGGCCCTGGATGCGGTAGGCCCCTACTTTTATCGTATCCTATTTTTGTAAAAGTAGTTTCTAACGTCTTGCGTGGGCGTGTTATGTATTGCTGTCGCAGAGTTTGTACAGTTCATGCATTTGGAACATTAGCTGGCCTATCCTTTGCCGTATAATACCCGTTCTAAACTTGACAAAATGGTGTGGTTGGCCATAAGATGAAACCGTTTTATCGGCTTTCCTCCCTCTGGATAAATGTGAAATTTCTTTTCTACCCAGTGGGAGAATGAAAATAACGCTTGAAAGTATTTATATTTTCTTCCGTTGAACAGGTGCTACTCCAGAGGCGTTTCTTTGTGCTTTCAAAATTCAACTAAATGCGATGGCGTTGAACATTGTGACGACGGGTCAGATGAGCAGGATTGTAGCGGTATAGAATATACTGGCGACGATAGTTGTAAGTTATATTGATTGGATATTCTACTAAGCTTCATCAATTCGTTAGTGCGATGTAGGCTACAATCTCTTGTCATTTTACAGTTTCATGCCCTCCGACGAAATACAAATGCCGTACAAAGAATCAATGCGTTTTGTGGAAGTTGGTTTGTGATGGGATACCAGACTGCTCTGATGAATCAGACGAGGGTGGTTTGTGTCATGCAAATGACTGTGGGAACCGAAAAACTACTGGGATAAACAAGCCTTCCAAACCTAAAGTTGTATGCGAGCAATATTGCCGCGAAACTCCGGACGGAGCAAAGTGTACATGTGATGCTGGTTTCAGGTGCAGGATTAAGGAGACTATATATTGTGCATAAAAAGCGTCAGTTTTTCTACATTTTTATTGAGTGAAGTATAAACGACTGAAATTTTCAGGTTGGCAGACGATGGCACGCATTGTCTAGATGTGAACGAATGCAAAGAAATGTCATCAAAACAAATTCACAACGCTGAAAAACTATCCAAGCTGTACAAATATGGTTTACGGTCGGTGTGCAGTCAAAAATGCGTCAATCTTGTGGGTGGATTTCACTGCGCCTGCGCGGATGGATACGAGTTGGACGCAGATGGCTATACATGTAAAGCAATGGGTGAGTCCTGTTGGTTTTGTAGAAAATAGATAGTGTTAGGTGTGGCGCATCTGGCTAAGCGTTAGTAATACGCTTGCCACCGCACCTTTTATTACCCTGCAGGTTCGAATCTCGTAGCGGATAGTTATATGCGAGAGAATTTCCGGACTCTTCGCCGCTAGAGGGTGGTTCATATAACCGCTGGCCGGTTACAGCATTCTGCATCATCAAGTCCATGCATCTGAAACAAATAACTGGCTAACTAATCCCGTACTCGACATAGACTGGTGAGACCGTTGTTCGCTATATGGTTAAGCAGTCTTATAGGCTTCCTCCTCACCCGTGATGTAAATCCAATCCTATTCGGACGAAGTTGAGTTGCACTCTTTATGTATAACAGTCCCAAAACACTTGCTTCATCTATAGCTTCCAATATATTATGTTTGATTAGGAACCTTCAGTCCCGAGTTGTATATTGGCGTGAACAATGAAATAAGGATATTTTCGTTGCGGGGACCAGGAGACAGCACCTTCCAATATAGCACAATGTATAAAAGTACAGATTCCGATGAAACGTGAGTTCTTTGTCATTCTTTATTAAGATGATTACTTGTGTTGTGACTGATTAATTAGACAAATTTTCATCATCTATTTACAACTTGAACTCGTGGCGTTCTTAATACGACGCAATATTTTTCTGAAAAAAAAATTATTATATATATGAAAGTTCATAAAATAGCAGCCTGCTAATTTTAACAGAATACTTGGTATTGACGTATTTGTTACAACTTTATCTGTTGTATGGATTGAGAAGAAATCAGCTCGGTTGATGATGATGAGCGGCCCCGTCGTTGGTCAGATAAACGTTGGTAAGTTTTTAGTTATGACTTCAATGGCTTCATGGCGCGGCGGTGTGGCTCAACGGGCTAAGCGTTAGGAATACGCTCGCCACCGCACCTCTAATTACTCTGCGTGGGTTCGCAGGTTCGAATCCCATGTAGGAATGGTTATGTGCGAGAGGATTGCTGGACTCCTCGCCGTCGTTGGGTGGTTCACGTAACCGCTGGTCGGTTACGGCTTCCTCCATCACCAAGTCCATGCTTTCGAAAACAAACAATACAGTAAAAACTAATCCCATACCCGACTTGGAATGGTAACCGGACGAGAGGCCGTGGTTCGCCATATGGATAAGCCGTCGTATCGGCTTTCCTCTCCCCCGGGATAAATATGTAAATCCTATCCTATCCTATCCTATCCTAGCTTTGAATTGCCACTAACGAGGACGACTCGATAACCCATTTTACAATGCGCATGTAATTAAATTTAACTTTACCGCCATATATGAAATCAGAACAATATGTCCACTGTTGCGTCTTTCCCATTTTTCTGTGTGTTCCTTGTTTTGGTTATGTGTTTACGGGAGAATCCAAATAAACTTACTAACTTTCTTTAAATTAATATTGTGTTAACGATAGTACTTCGAAAATTGTTGGTCATTTTTTTCAGATTTGCGCAATTTACTATGTCGATTACACCCAATACCAATTGAATTTTTTGTATACCAGATAGTCTATGAATGGATGAATAACATTTCTCTCTTTAACTATTACTAAATTTCCAGTTGTTTAATGGAAGTGTCTCATACATGGCTACTAAGTTATTTATTATCTATCTATGCAGACTTCCGACCTGTTGCTGTCTCTGTAGACTGGGTGAATTTCAACATTTTTGTGACTAGTTCGTCCTCTGGTAATCACGCGTGGAAATCTCCTGCTGTAAATCTCATAGCACTCACTGATGAAATGTTTGTAAAAGCAAAAAATAATATCGTTGATCCAGACTTCAAGCGACTAATCACGGACGGTCTAAAAGAACCTGTTGCGATCGCCCTATGTCCATGGAAAGGGTAAGTTTTAGACACAGATTGCGATAATCTATAAAGTAAAGGGCCTGTGACGGATATTTCATCTGTAAAATGAGAATGATGGTATTTATGTTATACTAGAATCCAATTCGATTTTTCTGAATTAATCTACATTGTCCTCAAACTTCGATGAACCTAACAGATTAGTCACCCTTACATAAATTGGCATTTATTATTTCATGATCACAGGAAGATGGCCGTCTGAAGACCCATAAGTATAACATTGCTATAGCTTATAAGTTTTACTAATTACACTACCACCTTTTTTAGAATCATGGTGGTTGCCGATGCGGGCGACGCGAATGGTAATGGTCGTCGAATATTCCTTGCTAACATGGATGGAAGCAATATAAGGAATATTGTAACAAATAATCTACTTCCACCTACCGACGTCATAATTGACGATGTTCAGAATGCCGTCATTTGGTCAAGTTACAATAAAGAAATTTCAGAGGCTAAAATTGAGACAATAACTCTAGACGGGACACAGCGCGGTGTATGCTTTTTTCTTAAAAATAAGTATCCTGTATTGCTGTATGGAAGCTCATTTCATGTTTTTTAATTTCATGTAGCTGATTTAGAGTTATCTAGTAATCCATTTAAATGTACCGAGTCACTGGTTTTAAAATTGACCTAAGTCAACCCTACAATAATTGATGTATTTAAAATGTTTAACAACTACATATTCTTGTTAGGCGTACCAGCAATTGATAAATGAAATCGATGTCACCAATTTAGATACTTTTTCAGGTTTTAGCTTGGGTCGAAAAACTTAGATTGAAAAGCTATATACACGTATTGGATATATGAAATTATATGCTATTGAGACTAGTATTATTTTTCAGACTATATTGTCCCGTAAGTTGAATCGTTTTCCCTTGGAACCTGTTTCAATCGACTTTTTCGAGGGAAGATTGTACATTTCTGACAAACAGTCAAAAGAAGTGAGATCTTGGAACGTCGGTGAAATTTCATTGTATGGGAGGGAAAACACAATGTACGATAGCAAAGGTGTAGTTAAGCTCGAACATAAAATGAGATTGGGAGCCATAAAAATAGCACATCCTGTTCTGCAGAGACCAACTACTGGTATGTATGTTACTTTCATTCTGTAACACACAAAATGTTGATGTACTTTTCTTGTCTTTTCAATTCATGTTTGATATTAGAAGAAAAAAATGTGACAAGTCTTTTTACAGGCGGAAGTTTGTGCATGTCAGCTGGGTGCAGCCAATTATGTGTTGTTACCTCTATCGAAACGAACAAACTCATTGATGATGAAAATTTAAAAGCAAAATGTTTCTGCTCAGAGGGTTACCAGCTCTCGAAGAATTTCAAAAATTGCTCTCGGGGTACGTAATTATTTCTGCTATGAAGCATCTGACAAAAATCCACGAATAATTTATTTCTTATGCTATATTTTTTTAATCTGATTGGACGTAACGAGAAATGAATATTTAAATCCAAACGTGACTATCCAGTTACAATCTGTTAGTATATATATAGCTATTTTATTTATTTTTACCCCATTTTTTTATGATAAATATTGCCACAACCTAACGAGTTAAATACAATAACATGAATCTCATCACATATTGCCAGGGACTTGGCCGGGCCACGTGTGCGCGGCTATTTCGAAGTTTCGAAATATTATTTTCATTGATTACAGGGCAAGCGGGTAGTTCAAGGTCTCCACTTTCATCGACGGTGTTGAAAAACGTTACCCCTCCTACAATGGGTGTATTCATTCCTAAATCGAACACCGAGATTTCAATAATAAAGACGCCGTCAGAAACAAAAGTTACATGTAGGAGCCCCGGGCCATTTTACAACGCTATTTCAGTTCCAGAAGAATTGCCATCGCATCGGAAGCTTCCTGTTGGAACTCTGGTTCGGATTTCATGCTTAGCTGGATATTTCATGCAAAATGGTGAGATGCCCTTTGTTTGCTTGTTTTGGTGGGGATGGGTCCTGGCACGGCGACGTTGTTTTTCTGAATATTCAAATGTCAATGAATTCTTTAGACTATGGAGTATCACGGAAAACGAAAGATCAGATTGAATGCTTGAGTACAGGAAAATGGAGTGCTCCACCACCCAAATGCGTTGTAATGACTGAACTGCCAGTTCACCGAGAAAGCATGATGAAAACACCACACATATCAACCGTCTTGGACAGGTTGACCAGCGGAATGAAGTCGATGATAAATTCAGCTAAGAAATCCGGAACATCAAAAACGACACTTTGTATATCTTTGAATTGTGGACCTTGGGGAAAATGCGTTCTGAACGAAAACGAAGGTAATGGTAATGACATTTTTATGTGTCCTGCGCACGTGTACCGGCGCTCCAGAAGTATGTGTATCAGTATGGCGGTAACTAATTTTGTTCGCCTATTTTACATCAATTTTGTAAAGGGACTGAAACCTATGGACAAAGGGATATTCACTTGGCTAACACATGCAGTCCCTAAACTCGTAATAGAACTAAAACATATAAAATCGGAATAAAACTATGGCCCAACTCTAAACCTGGTACTCATACTTTGGCTGTACCTATGTATCATCGAAATCTAAGAATTGCAAGGTCTATTTTAAATTGTGTTAATCTGTTGCAAATTGATACAGGAAAACATTATATTCTTGGGTTTCAGAATACGAGTGTCGGTGTAAATATGGTGAGTCGTCGTCTAATATAGCAAGATGTCTTCCTCCAAAAAATTATGTGATTGCAAAAAACACTACAGTCTTGCAAAACAACACTAACCCAGCTTCGTCCTCCACTTCAAATTCAAAGCTGATGATTGCCTTAATAATCGTTGCTGTCATCCTATTTTTTGTTTTAGTTTTTCTCTCTTGGAGATGCTTACGGTACGTATAGTAGAATAATGTACTGCTTGATTCTACTGAATTCAAACGACTATATTGTTAATAAATAAAAATATAATATGAATATATATCTACGGTGAGAAACATAACCACGTTAGCTACCAGCTTTCTTTTCCATTCAAATGCATAATCAGGCTTCCTTAGAGACGTGTTGTAGAGACTAAATGTTTTTTTCTTTTTAACCCGTGTAGTAAGAAGAGATACAGCGTAGATCTCCGATACTTTCGTGGAGGAACTCCGCAGCGTTGCCCGATCAGTACAAAAGATGATGTCGTGGTCGAGGTGTCAGTGGACGGTAGTTTGTTTACGTTTGATTTAAGTTGCATGGTTTTGGTAGTAATAAATTGGAGTCTACGATTTACTAATAAATAGTATTTTTTTTTTTGTTTTCGACGCAGGGAAGCCGACTTCTATCACAAATCCCAACTATAGTTCACCAAGTCAGCGGAAGAAACTTCCAAAACCTGTCTACTACGATGATGGAAGCGTAAGTATATATTTTATCTTTTCATTAAACTTTCATCGCGCCTGGACAACAAACGATGTTTACGTGTCGCCTGAATTTTCACAGGACAGTGGCATTCAGCAGTCGCTTGCCGGTTCGGAATCCGTATCCTCAACAACCAGTGAAAACTCAGCATGTGAAGGAAGTTCAAAATCATGCAAAGAAGAAACTAATAATTCTACCAATATCTCACCATTGTTGGACGATGAAATATACGAAGATGAGGTTGCAATGGGGGATGTGAGCATTGGAAGTAGGTGCCTTTTTATGTCAAAACTTAAACTGTAATAAATAAAATTGTAAAATTCTAATATACTCTCCTTTCTGTATTGAGGAAAGCCAAGTAAACAGTCGGTTGCTGTTGGTGATGGGGAAATTGTGAAAATATGCATTTAGAATGCGAGTTTAAATTTGAATTGCTTTCACCATTCAGGTTTGTCAAGATCTGGAAAAGTTGGCCTCGGGGGAAGACTCGGACGTTTATTTAAAATGAGAAAAACTGAGAGCAGAGAGTGCATGTTGCCCAAAAGAAATCACTGTTCAAGAATACGGTTTACTTCCGATAGCAATGCACCGTAGTTATGGTTACCAATTTTCAATCTGCCTTCGTCCAATGTGCGGGGCAAGAATACTCGTCCAAAATTGTCTTATTATTGCTAAAAAATAAGGAGACAAGACTTTCTTCTCGTTTAACTTCTCCTGTCACATTTTCCCCGTCAGTCACCTACACAGTGATTGCTCGAAATAAGTTCTCCTGTAATTTAAGAATCATTATACGAACTAAAATTGCATGTTATTTGTTTTTTCTGGGTAAATACATAATATCAACGGGAAAATAGTTTATTTGTTACGAAACCGGTAAAACGCCGGCATCTGTGGTATTACTCGTACGCATGTAGGCTATTGCTAACTAAATATACCGTGGCAGATAATGTGGATTTCTATCGGTATATCGGAATGCGATCTGCTACATCGAAAGATGCGCGGTTGATGCACTATGGAAGATGTGCTCTGTAATCAGCATCGCTGGTGCAATGACTAGAATGATACGATGGAATGTACGTGCACACCTGCTTCGAGATGTAGAGAAAGGTATACGGTTTCTTCAACTAACCGATTGTTTAAAAGTGAGGCATCTGACATCGAGGTGAACTTGAGAGTGCACTGTATGCTGAGCAGTAAGCATAATTTTCGAAAATTTCATGTCTAGCAAAATAAGAAATTCGACAGAACACTATCGGTACTTCATGCACCTGTCGTATAAAACAGCCCCGAATCCAAGCGCTGGGTAGGCTGTGTGTATTTACTAGAATTCAATTGCAATATATTTGTTGTGTAGCGTACCGACAGTCTATGAAATAATTATCCAAGTTCAGAATATCTTCCAATATGATCTGACTTCAAATTTCCCTCCAATATTCACTTCAAGTTATGCTATTTTATTAATTAACAATCTCAACACAACCGAATACTCCAAACAAAACGACAAGCATACAATAAAGCGACAAGTACCATGCAGCGCAATGCAAGAAAACAGAATATACACAATAAAAACACTTTGAACAATACTGATGATAGCTAATTCCATGACAAAACTGAAAATACAACACTAAATAAACTGCAATGGCACTGCCCGCAAACAGACACAGGGTCCCAACATTAGCTCACTGTCCAGTACAAAAACATCCAACAATCACAATCCAACAGTCACAAAACCACAAATAAACATCCCCGATAGCCCATCGGAGACCAGAGGCACTTCCTCGGACACTCAAAACCAAACATCCAACCGAAAAACAACCTCACTCAGACAACTGCACCCTGCTAACCACAACATACGCTAATGGAAATTCATCCTATACCTTTCTAAAAATAACATTTAGTACGGAAATGTGATCTGGATACACATAATATGCGTAAACATACCGGTGAAAAACCGTTCAGTTGCAAAATTTGTGGAAAGAGTTTCAAGGAAAGTTGTACCCTAGGAAGACACTTGAAAACAGTTCATTTCAATGTAAAGTCTCACGAATGCAAGATATGTGGAAATTCCTTCAAACAACAAAGATATCTAAAGACACATTTAGAAGCACTTCATGCAAATGACAAGCGCCATGAATGTGAGATATGTGGAAAAAAGTTTACCTTACGAGGATATGTGAATAACCACATTATGGGAAAGCATTTGAAATTGTAACAAATTAACCAATAATTTGGATAATGGAAGTCAAATTCTATATAATAATTGACGTAATCAAAATATTGGAGAGATCTTTCTAGTCTTTCTCGTGTATGAGAAAATGGATATTTTCCCATGTCGGGTGACCCATAAACAACCGAAATATTGAAGAGATCTTTCTAGATCATTCGAAATATTGAGTCTAGATCTTTCTCGTTATGAGAAAATGGATATTTCCCATGTCAGGTAACCTATAAACAAGTGTAATTATTGTAAGAAGGGTACCGAACATTCTAGATATGAGCAAAAATTGCTCCGTGGGAAACGAGATTTTTGGATAATAAAGAAAGGTACCGTTTTTTGGCGAGCGAGATGAAAAAGATGTTACCGTTTAAATAGACATTTGATCGTGGTTTTCACAGTTTTTTCTATTTCAATTCGTTCGATACAACCGACTTGGTTATCACGATTGAATGACCGTGTTTTACATGAATATTCAGTGTAAGAACGGTCTCGAATTATCGAGAAAATTGTGTATCCCTTTAAATGCGATCTCAAACATTTCAAGCGATCGTCATCCTTATCGTCAAATATCAATAATTCTGATGATCGCTACGCTACTGTTATGAATAATAACTTGAAATTATTCATCACCAGAAGTCGTCTCACTGATGACGCCGAATATCGAGATTATTATACTTAACAACCGTAAGCAAGTCTTTATATCTTATTACTTAGTATTGTTTTGTACGTTTTTTAATTTTGTCTTACTGTCATACTTATTGTAATTATGTACCTGTTATTGTTTTGGTGGTTTAATTTTGTTATGGTAATTTTGTAACTGGTATTGCTTAGTGGGGTTTGGGTTATATTGGATAGATATTACGTAAGTTAAATTAGGGGTGAATCATTATAATTACCACATATTACCCCAGAAATGTCAAAAGGTCGATTTGTTGACGAAATCGACCCACAATTCGGACTTGGATTTGAATATTTCTGAAACTAATTCAGTTAAATACGACATAATTAATAAAGTGCATTGGCAAAGTTTTTCTCCAATAGAAATAAAACCAGCTCTATTCCGAGTAATAAAGATACCAGTGCGAATCCCTACCTAATAGACATGTTTTAGAAACGTACTTCATCATGTTGTTTAATTTTGAGTTTTTTTATATTCACTCTTTTTTATATTCACTCTATTTCTAAGATATAGTACTTTTCCATTTGTATATATATGATGTTACAATTTGGCTTTCAATTTTGATGAATTAATGGTAGAAGACTTTGAATGTTTAAACTTTAAATGACTTTCGAGAGATTTATAATAACTGAAAGCTTGGCGGGAATTAACAACCCTTTTTGATTGGATAGATTTCGTTATTACTAAAAATGCCCTTGAAAGTAAATTCAGTGATTGAATGAGCTCCACGCTCGACTTAACAAAATTAGACGAAATACGTTATATTCTCCGAAAAGCCCGAAGCTGGCATAACAAAACAAAAAAAAATGCGCTACTTCAACCCGACATGGGGCAAATATAGACCAACTAGGTTGCAAAATTGCATCAATGCGCTATTTCAGCTCGACATGGGACAAATATAGACCAACTAGGTCGCAAAATTGCAACAATGCGCTATTTCAACCCGACATGGGTAAATACAGACCAACTAGGTCAATAAAAAAAATTGTAACAATGCGCCCAGAGGCACCCATGAGGATGACCAAATGGGGTCTAAAGGATCTTTTTCAGATGAAAAAGTCAAGCTGGTAACGCGCAAACATTGACACGTAACAGAGAAAGGAGCTCAGTCGAGCAGCCAACTAGGCTTATGATTTGATCTAAACACCAAGAAAATATTGAAGTGCCCAATTTCCACCAAATGGAGTGGCAATTTTTCGTCAATTCAACGTCTATTTTTCGCCAGTTTTTCGATTTATTTTTTCGTTGGTTTACTGTGTCATACGTAATCAAGAAAATATTGCAGTACTAATTTCCCACCATTTTTATGTCTCATTCTCGCCTTTTTTGTTCGACCGACTTTCAGTGTCTTATATATTTTTGCCGTAGTTTTCTCGTAATTTTCAGTGTCTTATATATATATTCGCCTAATTTTTAATGTTTCATTCTTGCCCATTTTATTGCAGTGCCCACTTCCCCGCCACCGTAATTTCTCCATTTTTTGCCTATTTGTTGTATTTTTCAAATTTCATGACAAATTATTGTGTTTTACATCTAAATCTTTCCCCCCCATTTTTATTGCAAATGGTACAGACAATTAAATGTAGAATGAGTAGTAACAATACTAGTTGCAATCACTGAAACGTAAAGACCTACCTAGTTGCAATCACTGAAACGTAACGACCTACCAAAAAGCCTTATGTTTAATAAGGTTTAACACTGATAACGTAAAGACCTACAATACAGTCATATTGTAAGATTTTTTTTGTTTTTGGGAATCAATAAACCATCTTTTCTTCATTTTTTAAAGTCATTATCGCCTAATTTATCTAATAGTAAATCGTACATTAAACAAGTGCTCACAATTTTGAAAGTCGTGTAGGTGAGAAGAAGGTATAATAATACCATTACTGTCACTGAATTGCACAATTCAAATGCCTTTCACAATACAAATGTCTCATCCGTATAATTTGAAAAGACCCCAAGTCAGAATCATATTAAATGGGGCTACAATGAGTTCTTGAGTTGTATGTTTTTAATTCTTGCATGTATAATTAGTGCTCAAATTTCATGTTTTTCTTCTTGTATATAAATCTTTCAATTGCCATTTTAAATAACCAAAATTAAGGAATTTGTCTTGTCGTTTCTGAGTCTTATGTCTTATTGATTAATTATACTCGACCATTTTTTCTTGCTCTTCGTAGTGGATGTTTTGCTCTTTCATCCCGACAGTTTTTCAAACAAATTACTTTGACATTTCAAATTGCCATCTTCAAAAGTTACGAGATTTGATTACTGTCATGATAATTTCGATTCATTCTTATATTTCTACAATTATCGGTTAATTTTTAATATGTGCTTTTAAAATATTTCACTTGTGGTGCCAGGAATGTGGTAACAAATTAACCAATAATTTGGATAATGAAGTCAAATTCTATATAATAATTGACGTAATCAAAATATTGGAGAGATCTTTCTAGTCTTCCTCGTGTATGAGAAAATGGATATTTTCCCATGTCGGGTGACCCATAAACAACCGAAATATTGAAGAGATCTTTCTAGATCATTCGAAATATTGAGTCTAGATCTTTCTCGTTATGAGAAAATGGATATTTCCCATGTCAGGTAACCTATAAACAAGTGTAATTATTGTAAGAAGGGTACCGAACATTCTAGATATGAGCAAAAATTGCTCCGTGGGAAACGAGATTTTTGGATAATAAAGAAAGGTACCGTTTTTGGCGAGCGAGATGAAAAAGATGTTACCGTTTAAATAGACATTTGATCGTGGTTTTCACAGCTTTTTCTATTTCAATTCGTTCGATACAACCGACTTGGTTTTCACGATTGTGAGTGTGTTTTATTGGCTTTTTCTATTTCAATTCGTTCGATACAACCGACTTGGTTTTCACGATTGTGAGTGTGTTTTATCGGCTTTTTCTATTTCAATTCGTTCGATACAACAATGCTAATTC